AGTACGAGTATAGTATTTTGGCTTTTTAGGCTATAAAAAATATTAGATCAGACCTATCTACAACTGCTACTTTTGAAGTAACCTTCCAACTATTCTCGTTATCAACTCTAACAACATAGGGTCCTTTTCAAAGTGACCTGTCTCACTAACTGCACATAGTTATATTACTAGAGGCCAAGGCCTTATCTATTAATAATTATACCCTACACCATTTATTGTACTCCCATTGGTTATGTGATTTAGACAACTCACGCTTTATCCAAACATTTCTTCATTTTACATTTTCTAAAAACAGAGAACCTGATTCCGCTTTATAGCCAAAATCTTTTCTGTCCCATGCACAACTTAATTGAAAATTTTGACTAACCGTACTTTGTTTGCCATAAGTACCAAACATGCCTTCACCAAGAACTGAATGTTGTGCCTTATTGCCTGTCCACTATAACTCTTCTAGATCCTTTGACAAAGTATTATCATGATTTTTAGTAAACTGCAGCTGCCCTTCTTTTCCTTTTTCAGTTACACTTCCTTCTTCTAAAGATTCTTCCAGACCTATTCAATTTCAACTGTCCTTTAATAACCTGTTTACAATTTCTTGTTTTTGGCCTGTTTCTTGTAGACCCATTCCACAACAGACAAATCTTAACATTTCCAGAGATAGCTGATTCAGGTTTGACTCCAAACTTGTTTGAGCTGCATCCGAGGGCATAAAGTCATTGAGCACTGTAACAGATTCTGATTCCTTACTAACAGAAGATATTGAAGATCCACCATTGTTTTGTTTTGTTTTTTTTTTCTAGAAAGCTAGCTTATTGAAAAGTATCGAATGTATAAAACCTAGACAAGTGGCAACAACAACAACACTTGATTCGTGGCTTCAATATCCCAATGATAAATGTTAAAAGTTTATTACTTAAAAACTTGTTTTATTTAGAACTTGTTTTAATTTGAACTTGCTTTATTTGGTGTATTCAGATAATATATAAAGATAAAAATATTTAATTAACCAATCAAGAACTTGCCGCAAAATAGGTAAAGCAAGCAAGTATTATATACACAAGGTTGACGAAAAGTACTAAATAAAAATAAGTTGAAATAACCACAATATGGTTATAAAAGTTGCACGAAAAAACCAGACAAGGTCGGGTTAGCAGAAAAAAACAGAAATTATCTTGTCTGGGAAAAAAACCCATTCCCTTTAAGTGCCCTAACGATTACAAATCAAAAAACTA